ATATTTACAAAATATTTAAAATAAATCTTATAAATATTAATAAATATTTTGTAAATATTTTATAAATATTGTGTGCTGTCTGGGCAATAATATGGTCTTTTACCCTACTGACCTTTTGATATTTACAAATATGCATATAATATTTATTAATCGATTACATTATTACGAATAATTGTGATCATCAGTTATATGAATGTAATCGATGTTACACGGCGATTTTACTTAAGGACTAGATCATAGCGCGCGTTTGCCAAGTATTATTTTTTTTATTTGTTATCATCTTACCGCGTATAAAATTTTCATATACAATTTTCAAATTCAAATCTTATACCCACACAGCACGTAATATTGCAGTGATAATAACCTGCACTAACTTCTCACATACGCGTCAGTTGATCGATCTCTTCTGTCACGATTATTTTTCGCCATGAAATGCGTCACACGACACCAGTGCGATATGCGATCAGCGAAAGGACCAATGATGTGACGTGTGGAATAAAGCGACAACAATGCGATCGTGATTAGCGGCCAACTTTAGAGTCCCATGGTTATTTTTCTTTAGGAGATAATAATCCTGTTACTTTTCGTCTAATTATTTTTCTAAATAATAATTGCAGGTAATCATAGCGGTGCTGTCGCTGACGCTTGTGCGAGCGATCAAGAAAGAAGATGAGTCCATAAGTCCGTACGTTAAGCGTTAGGCATCAGTATTGTTCAACGATGCAACGTGATATATTATAATAAAATAATTATATTTAGTTTCTTATAATTTTAATTAGTTTATTATAATTATAATTTTATATAGAAAGTTATAAATTCTGCTAAATTGGAAATTTTGCGAATGCATAATCTAAGAGTGACATTAATCAAGAATATATCAGGAAAAAGTAGTTTTTGCGCTCATATCTTTTAATTTCTAAAGATAGGAACTTGATTTTTTTTAGAATTGAATTGAAATGAATTGAAATAAATTTTAGAAACGAATTCTCTTGAGTCTAAAGTTGAATTTAAGTTCAATATGAAATTGTTTACCTATATGTCTTTGTCTCTGCTTTGTAAAAAGCTAAATTATATTTTAATTATCACTGACTTGCGATAAACATTCATGCGTTTCATTTTAATCGAGTATTTGCAGCACAAATTCAGTTTGCTCTCCTATTAACATTTTTGTAATTTTGTACATCTTTTCTATTTCCTTGCATAATTTATAGATATTTATAATTTAATAGATATTTTTAGAAGTTATATTTAAAAGAGATTTACATGAATAAATAAAGAGAATGCATAAATAAATTTAATAGTTATTGAATAAATACCAATAATCATAAACAATAATTGCTAAAAATGAGATATTATCTTTGATATTCATTGTAAAAAATTATTGCGACAGTATATTGATAAATGGAAAATAAAAGAATAATAAACAAATAAAACGTAGTTAAATCAAGCCTCAAGTGACTATAATCATTATTGTACTCGTAAATAACTATAGTGAGTGCAAAAGTATTCGTACAAGAAAATTTTTTATAGAAAAAGTCTTATTTATAGAAAATAAACATTAATTAACAATTTTGTACAATGAATATATTCTATTCTAACATAAACAAACGAGCTTCGCATGTATTCCTGATTTTAGAAACTAAATTTCGTATATTGATTCGACATCAATTCGATGACTCATTTCTCGTTGGATAATATATACTTTTTAAAAATAAAGTTTTTATAAAAGATATTTTCTCTGTACGAATACTTTCTGTACTCACTGAATATTATTTATAATATCACTGCATCATCTATTCTCATTTTTTACCTATTGTTAATTCTTGTTGTTCTTTATTATTCTTTCTTTTCTTCCCTCTCTTTTTTTCTATATATGTGGTACATATTGTTAATATTATGTGAATCTGTTATGACCTCTCACCTATTTTTTGTTATTAAAAAAAGATTTTGACCAAATTTTTATTAATTTAATGATAATTATTTTACTAATATAAATAGTATATATAATTTACTAATATAAATAGTATATATATTATCTACCCAGATAGCACAGAATATTTATGATAAATATTTATTAACATTTATTTTTTGAAATGTTATATAGATATTTCATACATATTTTATATAAAACTTTATTTGCAATATTATTAAAACATAAATTCTAAAACATAAACTCTAAATATTTTATGTAGTATTTATGATAAATATAAAATATAAAATATGATAAAATTCTATCACGGAAAGTATATATATTGATCGTACATCCTTAAAATAGACGAAATAGTTCTTAACTCTATCAATTTTTTTTTTATAATGATTTTTATTTCGATAAAATGAATAATTTCTGTGATATTTTTGAGAAATGGTATTTTTGCTCAGTTATATTTAAAATTGGAAGGTTTACCAAATTCGCTAGTGAGATCAGAACATTTAATATATTATATAATACTTTTCATTTCGAACAAATTCTTGCAAACATATCTTTTATGGCAATTTTGCTTCCAAAAAGTATAATTTTTCTGGGCTAAGTATATCTAATTTTCTGTTGTATATTTATCATGGAAGCGATATTATATGACAGTAGATGAATTGTACAGTTCGAATTTTGATTTTAAGTGATTTTTAATTAATCTCCGATTAATGTATCAAAGTGTATATAATAATCAAAATTTTAGAAATTGAAATAAATAGAAATGGATTCGTGTACTCATTACTGATTGCAAAATTCTGATTTTTCGGATACTGATGGGTACCTACGACTCTGCTTATTATTTCCATTTCCAATCTGCTACAGTGTACATGTTAAGTATGTATACAAGACATTGGTATTGACTTTCGTATTGATCTTCGTGCAAGACAAATAGTATGAAGTAGTGTCGACTAGAGTGCTGATTAAAACCGTACATAGTCTACTGGAAAGAAAGTTGGAACATATAACAACCCTTATTTCGAGTTCTCCGTTCGGATCGTATCTATAAAACTTCTGGTTTCTTGCACGTCCATATAATGTCAGAAGTGAAGCGTACGACCGAAGGCAATAAATTTCTTGTTGAATATCTGGACTCGCCTGCTGATGTATCGACCGAGTATTACAAGAATGTACATAGGTGAGACGGGGGTGACAAAAAACGCGATTTCTATTGAAATATGCACGAAACATATTATTTAATGCGAAGATAATTTTTTAAAAGAAATGTTACAATGTACCTTCTACAAAGAAGAATTAAGTTTTTTATATGATCCTCAGTAATTTCTCGTGTTATTGTTATTCCTTTTGTCTTTCAAATTTAGAGTCGTTAAACTACAAAATGGTTTAACAGTTTTGTTAATATCTGGATTGGAAAAATTGAATTATGAAGATATGAGTTATAAAGATTATGAAGAAGGTAGTTCTACAGTTAAACAACTTAACAGTGATATACGGAAGGTATAAATAAGACAATTCAGTTAGCATTTTAGGATACGTCTTGTGTATTTTTTTTACGTAACCTGTTACTAAAAATTCATTGGGATTATAATATCTGAGATGAACTTATATAATCATAAAGAATAATCTATCTCTTCAAAATTGCGCGCATTCAGAATAGAACTACTTGTACAATGGCGTCAATCTATCTTTATCGTTCATTAAACATGAAAAGATAAAATGGCGCAACAGCGTTAATAGCATATTCATCGGACGTACAGTAAGGCTTGATATTATCACAGGAGTCCTCGTTTGAAAAACGTGAACTCCTCTATTATTTATAAATGATTAACTATTTTATTGATTCGTTTTGAAACGAATTCGTGTGAACTGACCACATCTCACTACTGTTTGTGCTCAATGTATCAATTTATCATTCTGTATGCAACGCATGATACATGTATAGGTACATACATATATATTTTTTGAACCCAGGCATTTTGTGGCTTATGTGTGCAAGTAGGCAGTTTTAACGATCCACCGGAAGTTCCTGGCCTGGCACATTTGCTTCAGCGCATGGTTTTCATGGGATCCGAAAAATATCCAAAAGTATTAAAATGTGACAAGTGAATTTATTATAAAATGCACTTTTTGTACATTTAAATGTTTAAATATAATTGTATTTGCAGGAAAACGGTTTTAATGAATTTATCAGTCGCCATGGTGGTACTATTGATGGCGCAACGGATTGCGAGCATACAAGATTTTACTTTGATATTTCAGAGAAACACTTATTGCCAGCTTTCGATCGTTTTGTTCAATTTTTCATTGGACCTTTAATGAAGAGAGATGCCATCACGCGGGAGCGAGAAGTTATACAAAGGGGTATATAAATCCTTATGGTAATATTGTTGCTAAAATTTTCGGTTTTTTAATGTTCCATGTTCACATAGAGTTTCAGTGGGATTCATCTAGTGACAAAAACAGAAAGGAACAATTATTATCTTTTCTTGCTCGAACTGGTCATCCACCCAGTAAGTTTCTTCGGAGCAATTTAACAACATTACACAATGATATAGATGATGACAAGTTGTACGAAGAGTTGCACAAATTCAGAAAGTGCCATTATAGCGCTCACAGAATGATGCTAGCTATACAGGTAACTATAACACGTTAAAATTACGATGAACAATTGATTTCATATTAAACATAGTTAATTCACAATATGATACGTACATCTTTTTATAGGCGAGCTTATCGCTAGATACATTGCAACTATTAGTCACAAATTTTTTTAGTGATATACCAAGTAATTGGCTGTCTTCCGATGACTTTACTGAATTTAAAGACGGCGTTTCTTTTAATACTGACATTTTCCAAAAACTGTATAAAGTTAAAACCATCAAAAGTATCAGCCAAGTATGTAACTTAGACACACAAGTTTACAAAAGCTGTGTCTACTGTACAAATGCATATCAAAATAAAACTTCTCTTTCACAGTTACATGTAACATGGGCTTTGCCTTCAATTAATTCGTACAGAAGTAAACTATATAAATATATTTCATGGATTTTTGAGCATAAAGGAAATGGATCTTTAACTGGTTATCTACGTAAAAAAATGTGGATCTTTGATTTGTTCTGTGGTATCTGTGATAACGATAATGGTTTCGGATACAACTCTATGTATGTTTTATTCGAGATTGTAGTAGAACTCTCCCATGAAGGAGAACAGAATCTGAAAGATATTCTAGATGCAATCTTCTCCTTTATCAATTTAGTAAGAAAGGCGGGACCACAAGAAAGGATTTATGATGAAATTTATAAGTTTGAAGAAATTAATTTTAGGTAAATTAATTTAGGTATAAATGGATATGTAGAAAAGAAAAATACTATTATATAATATATATAAGATATGTAACTTATATTTGAAGGCTTTTATAGATTTTTTATTACGCACGATGATGTATTTGATCTATGTAAAGATATGCATTTCTATCCGTCGCGTGATTATATAACTGGAAAGCATATTTATTTCGAATATAACCCAGAAGCTATACAAAACTGTTTGGATCTTATGGTGCCAGAGACGGCGAATATTATGATTTTCAACAATGATTTAGAATTAAATATAGTCGAGTCACGTTTGAAAATTAATTATACAGATTTTGAGTTACGACAGGAATGGATCGAACGCTGGAAATCTATCGAGCCATTGTCAGATTTTCATTTACCATTACGCAATGAATTGTCTACCAACTATTTCACTTTAATACCAGTCTCAGCAGAAGTTTCGAAATATCCTATAACAATATACAATGATCATATGTCACAGATCTGGTATCATCCAAAGTTTTATTGGCCGATGTGTCATATAAATTTTAATTTTATTTCTCCTCTGATGCTCCAAACACCAAAAACGTAAGTAGTTGCATGGACATGTAACAATATTTATACATTATAGTAGTAAACGACTATCTATTGATCCTATATACTTTGTATAATGTCTAACTTGTAATTATCACATATTATCATTTTTATAAAATTATTTGTTATTAAATAAAATTCATATTAATAACATTTCAGTGCAGCTCTACTGCAAATGTACTGCAATGTAATAAAATTTCTATTGCTCGAGGGATTCTATCCAGCTGTGATGAATGGGTTTGATTATAACATCGATGTCAATGAAGAAGCTACAGGTATTACAATACAAACGAGCTGGTTTCGCGAATCACTGCCAGTAAGTATACGTTTAAAGCGTATGTTGGAGGAGCTATATATATATATAATTTGGACATTATACATAAATATGTTATTTATATTTCAGAACATATTGATGGATATTGCAGAATGTATAAATGCTCTAGTCTATGTTTCGCAGGACTTGTTTAAAATTATTAAAATTCAACAATTCATGGCATATTACAACAAATTTATAGAACCTGAGGAACTCATCGAGTATCAATTATTTATTACCAAGCATAATTGCAACAATTATAAAATTCTAACAATTATAAATAACTAGAAAAAAATAATTAATGATCCACACTAATTATAACAATGAATGTTATGAAATGAATTATATTTATATTACATTTCTTATCATTTCCGATCGATAACGTATATATCGCTTATTTTTTTCGCAGCGATGTGATATTATGGATACTAAAGTGCCGCTACAGTACATACATTCAGAAGTACAATGTTCTACGTAGTATTAAACTTGAAAACTTCCGAGACTTTGCAAAGTTTTTCACCGATAATCTGTACATCCAGTGCCTTGTTCAAGGCAACATAACGAAAGACTTTACGATCAATATTATACAACGATTTATCAAAAATATTAATTGCGGTTCCTTGAATAATACGATATGGCCTAGTGGAATCACTGAGATATCCAGAGGCACATCTTATTGCAAGTTGAAAAATATTAACCGAACTGATGTAAACTCGATAGTGACAAATTATTATCAAGTCGGTATTGCTTCAAATGAATTATCGATGTTAATCGAGTTGATGCTCGTAAGTATTTAATAATATTGTTTTATAGATTTAAAGTCATGGGGTCTTCAAGTTATTTATATGTACTCGTACTTATTTATATGTACAAGCAAATGAAATGTGAATAATATTTTCGATTATCACGACTAATTTTATAGTAATAGTATTAGGGGACTTATTCATAATATTTTTGACCGTAACATATCGTCAAGGTCATGATCCTGAGTGATCTCTAACAAGATTTAGCCGTCGCTCGTTATTCGTTAAAAAGATATTAATAAAAAAAGTTTGAAAGTGTAACGTCTTATTTCTGCTATATATAATATTAAAAACTATTCTATACCCTTCCTTGTTTACGTAATGGCTTTCCAAGCGAAGGGGGTTCCGCCCAACAATATATATACATAGACCAAACATTCTGTCCGTAGTTCGAAGCCGGAAATTGACAGTTTATGTAGCGTTTTTGGTTCTCTTTCTATTTTGATAAGAGGCGTACGATAGAGTGAAATAGCACGCTAAAACCCCACATAAACTGTCAATTTACGGCTTCAATCCCCACCACTGAAAAGCATGGGAATGCTCGGTCTATGTATATATGTCGTTGATTCCACCTCACCACCCTCCTGCCAAGGTGCGCACTATTTTCCACGCGAAGCGAGGTCCATTCCTTCTTCGCGTGGAAAATCGCGCGCCCCTTGCAGGGGAATGGTGGTATGAAAATCGCTTTGTATGGAAAGTTGTATTCCTTGTCCATCTCGTACTTCCCTCCGTGTCTAAATTTATCTGACTGTTCACGTAAAGCAGAGGGAAATAATTATTAACTTTGATTGTTAATAACTTCTTAACGAATAACGAGCAACAAATAAAACCTGTTGCAAGTCAGTCAAGCTCATGACCTTGACAATATATGTCAAGGTCAAGGTCATTCCCTCAATCGGTACCTTATACCGATTTCATTTGCATATCATATTCATCTTTTAAATAATCATTTTTTAGATGATAATGAAAGAACCGTTAATGAATCAGCTACGAACCCAAAAACAGTTTAATTATGTTTCGTGCAACTTTAGAGATATCAACGGAATGTTAGGATATTCTATTACTGTTTACACTCAGGCAGATAAGTTCACAACCGAATCCGTTGACCAACAGATCGAGGAATTTCTGAATTCGTTTAAAATCGTGTTGGAACAGTTCTCAGAAAAGGAATTAGATGATGTCAAAGAAGGTCTGAGAATTTTAAAGCAACATAACGATTCCAAGAGTCTGAAAAACGAAATTAAGAGGAACTGGAGTGAGATCATGAAGCAGCAATACATGTTTGACAGATGTGAAAAAGAAGCGCTTGCACTAGAGAACATAAATATCAATAAGCTGAGAGAATGGTTTGGAAGGCACAGACAGAACGGAAATAGTTTCAGAAAATTGAGCGTACATGTGGTAGGAACTGATTCGAAGGAAACTGCAGTCAGTAAGCATCTAACTTTTCTGATCGAACTTTGGTCAACGTCTAAATATTTCTTTCTTATCATATTAAATTGAAATTGCTAAGACAATTAAAATTTTAAATATTAATTGTTATAGAGGCAAAGAATCGTGAAGCTGCGTACTTTTTTTGGGAGTATATACTTAATGATATGCAGCACATGAGTGCTACAGATCATCGTATTATTGACATAGAGGCTTATAAAAAAGGTCGCGTCGTTTATCCATAAAGTATCCTTAAAGAGCTTAATAAGTGATACTTAAACAATAATGGAACAATAATGATAAAATTGAATATTACACTGTTTTTGTTATTATATAATAATTTATCATATCAATTATAATCGATTTTATGAACTTATTATATTATTCATTTTTTTACATTGTACACTTGTGTTTTATTAACAAATTACTTAGTTCGTTTTCAAATTTCTTCTATTTACTACCTGTATTTGTTACAACACGATAATTCACGTTTTTATTTAATTTATTTACAAAATATACACATATGCAATATACGATATAAAATATATTATTATCAGTAATTTATTTACAATGAAGCCGTTCGGTTGCTGTAATCGTCGCCAACGTTTTGTTATGGAATATTTCGATGATGTACGTTTATAATTTTTTTCCTGACATGGAAATTGCGTCCCTGTTAATTTTTTTAGCATTAACGCGCATTGGCGCATTTATTACGGAATTGCAATTACGTGAAATTAGAGAAATGTTATTATGTTTAAGTACAACGTATAATATTTCCAGGGTGGCATTCTTATTTTTGATAATCTGAAAAGAGTAAATTTATTCATATTTATTTTTAAAATCAGATTTCTTAAATTTAAGATGCCCTTTATTAGAAATTTTAAATAAACGTTATATTAGTTTATCACAAGGCACAATTATACGGTCAATATACTTATCAAAAGTACAATTTTCACAATAGCAATCAATGCAAACGGACGTGCATAACGTACTATTATCGAAAGGATTAGCAGGAAAAAAGCATTAAACAGATAAAATTGTTTCTCAGATAGAATATAGAATCATAATAACATCATAGGATGTCAACATGTGTTTATTTATACTTGTAAGAGTTATACCAATAAGTGACAAATAAGTTCATGATAACGTTCTTATAATAGTATTACAACTTCCGTCTGGGTTAGGACTTCGGACTACTTGGGTATCCAATCGTACCCTGGATTAGGATATGTGTCTTCCCCCTTACATAATTACGGAAATTAATTAATCTAATATTTGGCTCGGAAGAGTTAAAGTTTACCTAATTGACTGCAATCGAAATAGACCGCTAAGGGTTCAAAAGAATCGAGGATCGTATCGAAATCTAACCGACGAAGAAAAAGGGTGAGTAGAGTATCGGCTCTGGATAGTAACGGGGGTACACTGATACCGTCGGCTGCACTAAACATGTCAATATCGAGCAAATATATCGACTATGAATATATTCAGATATTTTAAAACTATCTATTCATTCGGAATGAATAGATATTATATCGACGCGGAATGAATAGAAATTATATGAGAGGTAGAAGGTGCTAGTTGGCAGCGAGATGTTTGAGCTAGAGCTGTGAGATCAGCTAGAAAAACATGAAGAAAGGTCAATGTCAAGAAATGAATGAAAAGCGATCTATTACGCATGAGTGAAGAACGGTTTATGTCGGAACGCATACGGATTACAATTTATATCGAGAAAGAGAGAAGAACGTTTCAAGTCATATGAAATTAAAGTAGGGTCTATATAGTGCAATATTTTCTCATAAATTTTATAACAGTATGATTGAGAACGGGAATTATCTTGATTTTCAATCTTGCTTCCATGCCAAATTCAAGGGAATATTAACTATTAAGAAGGCAGAAAGTAGCGTTATCCTAACATATTTCCAAAGACACCGTTTTTACACAAGTTGTGGATCATAATTTTCAGTCAAAAAATTGTCACAAAAAACTTTTTCTTCAAATCACTAGGTACATCTTAAACAAAAATTGATGGATGAATTTTATAAGCTTTAATTTGATATGCTTTGTTTTTTACGTAAGATCTTTAAAAAATAAGTTATTTATGAAGAAGAAACGAAGAACATTTTTTTTTTAAATGTTGAAAAAAGGAAATTTTTCACGAAGCTGTTTTTCCAAAAATAAATTTTGGAGAACTCTACGCAAGTAGGATCATATATGAATATATGTAAACTTTGAGAAAAAGGAATATTATTTCTTCCAATTCGATTACATACTTATATTGATAAATAAACTCATATTTTAACGTAAATTGAAGGTCCTATAATATCCTCGAAACAACATATCTCGGGAAATATTGATCGTACGTTAAAAAAAAACATTTTTAAGATAATTACATAAGATTTAAGACTATTTATGTACATTTTTAATATACATAAGTCACAAGCAAATGATTCATTAAAATATATTACAATTTGAGAAATTTTAGTTGTCTCGACGATTATTCATTGTACGAGGTTCAATAAAAAAAGACTATGTAGGGAATTTCAAAACCTGTCGATTTGATAAATACTTTTTACGTAGGAGTAGTCGAGTCCGAAATATTTACATAAAACATTAAAAAATAAGTTTTGTTCAAAAATAAAAGAAAACATTCTTAAAATCGCAACTTGGCAAATATTGATTGTATGAGGATCAATAAAAAAGGATTTTGTAGGGGATTTAATAATCTTCCACTTTCATAAAACTTATATTGTACATACATAAGAGTAGTCGAATCTGTGATATTTACGGAAAAAGATCCAATTGTCGAAATGAACAAAAGTACGACAATCTTAAAAAAATTCTATCACGGAAAGTATTGATCGTACATCCTTAAAATAGACGAAATAGTTCTTAACTCTATCAACTTTTTTTCATCTATGTAGTGACAAAAACAGAATGGAACAATTATTGTCTTTTATTGCTCGAACTGGTCATCCACTCAATAAGTTTCTTCGAGGCAATTTAATAATATTACACAATGATATAGATGATGACAAGTTGTATGAAGAGCTGCATAAATTCAGAAAGCGCCATTATAGCGCTCACACTATGATGCTAGCTATACAGGTATTTATAATATGTTAAAATTACGATGAACAATTGATTTCTTATTAAATATAATTAATTCACACAACATGAAACGTACATCTTTTTATAGGCGAGATTATCGTTAGATACATTGAAACTATTTGTCGCAAACTTCTTTAGTGATATACCAAGGAATTGCCTGTATTCCGATGATTACTGAATTTAAAGACGGTGTTTCTTTTAACGCTTTACAAAAATTATATCAAGTTGAAACCATCAAAAGTATCAGCCAAGTATGTAACGTAGGCACACAAATATAAAAAATGCTATGTGTATTGTACAAATGCATCTAAAAATAAAACTTGTCTTTCACAGATACATGTGACATGGGTTTTGCCTTCAATTAATTCGTACAAAAGTAAACCATATAAATATATTTTATCGATTATTGAGCATAAAGGAAATGGATCTTTAACTGGTTATCTACGTAAAAAAATGTGGTGCCTTGATTTGTTCTGTGGTATCTGATAACAATAATGGTTTCGAATACAACTATGTATGTTTTATTCGAGATTATAGTAGAACTTTCCCATGAAGGAGAACAGAATCTGAGAGATGTTCTAGATACAATCTTCTCCTTTATCAGTGTAGTAAAAAGGACGGGATCACAAGAAAGGATTTATGATGAAATTTATAAGTTTGAAGAAATTAATTTTAGATAAATTAATTTAGATATAAATAGATATATAGAAAAGAAAAATACTATTATATATTATATATAAGATATGCCACTTATACTTGAAGGCTTTTTTAGATTTCTTAAATAACTAGAAAAAACAATTAATGATGCATATTAATTATAACAATTAATGTTATAAAATGAATGATATTTATTACATTTTCTATATCATTTACGATTAATAACATATACATATATTGCTTATTTTTTCGCAGGGATGTGGAATTATGGATACTGAAGCATCGATATAGTAACACATACGTTCAGAAGTACAATGCTGTACGTACTATTACAGTTGAAAGCTTCCGAGACTTTGCAAAATTTTTCATCAATAATCTGTACATCCAGTGCCTTGTGCAAGGCAACGTAACGAAAGACTTCCGATCAATATTATACAAGGATTTATCAAAGAAATTAATTGTGGTCCCTTCATGGGTACGTTACTGGATAATAATAAATCATTCAATCAATTAGAATCATTGAGATACCCCGAGGCATATCTTATTTCAAGTTGAAAAATATTAACCAAACTGATGTAAACTCTGTAGACAAATTATTATCAAATCGGTATTGCTTCAATTGAACTATCGGTGTTACTCGAGCTGATGCTCGAAAGTATTTAATAACATTGTTTTATACATTTAAATATAAATGGAATCTTAAATTTATATTTATTTATTTTTAAAAGTAAATGAAATGTGAATGTGACCATTTTCGATTACCATTATTGATTTTATTTACACATCGCATTCATCTGTTAAATAATAATCTTTTAGATGATAATGAAAGAACCATTAATGTATAAGCTACGAATCCAAGTATAGTTTAGTTATGTTTCGTGCAACCTTAGAGACATCAACGGAATGTTAGGATATTCTATTACTGTTTACACTCAGATAAATATACAACTGAATACGTTGACTAATGGATCGAGGAATTTCTGAATTCGTTTAGAATCATATTGGAACAGTTCACAGAAAAGAAATTAGATGATGTCAAAGAAGGGCTGAGAATTTCAAAGCAACATGACGATGTCGAGATTCTGAAAGACGAAGTTAACAGAAACTGGAGTGAGATCACGAAACAGCAATACATGTTTAACAGATGCGAAAAAGAAGCGCTTGTACTAGAGAACATAAATATCAATAAGCTGAGAGAATGGTTTGGAAGGCACACACAGAACGGAAATAGTTTCAGAAAATTGAGCGTACATGTGGGAGGAACTGATCCGAAGGAAACGGCAGTCAGTAAGCATTTAACTTTTCTGATCGAACTTTGGTCAACGTCTAAATATTTCTTTTTGTTATTTATGACATCATTCTTGCCTTTCATTTCTTTTCTGTCAGATTAAGTTGAAACTGCTAAGACAATTAAAATTTTAAAAATTAATTGTTATAGATGCAGAGAATCGTAGGCATAGGGTGTACTCTCTTAAGGAATATATAATTGTAGCACAAAAGTGCTACAGATCTTCATATTACTAACGTATATGATTACAAAACCCTTTATATCGTCTAACCATATAATAAATGAGGAGATTAATCCTGTCATCCTTAAAGCGCTTAGTAAATTATACTTACTTGACAAAATGGTGCAATGACGATAAAATTGTGAATATTACGGTTTCAAACTTCTTATTTTAATTTATCATATTAATTATATCCTATTTCATAAAATTATTATATTATTAATTTTATTACATTTTACATTTATATTTTATTAGCAAATTACTTAGTATTTCAATTTTTTCTATTTAATATCTGGATTTGTTGCAACGCGATAATTCACGGTTTTGTTTAATTTATTTACAAAAAATACGCAGTATACATATACAATATACCATATACAATATATTATAATCAATAATTTATTTACAATAATGCCGTTCGATTGCAATCATCGTCGATGTTTTGTTATCGAATATTTAGAAGCTACTTGTAATTTTTTCTTAACTTGGAAATTGGGTTCTTGTATGTTCTTGTATGTTAGCAATAACGTGCGTTGGCCAATTTATTACAGTATTGCAATTACGTGAAATTAGAGAATTGTCACTATAAAAAATAATGTAGATTTGCATCATTGATTCTTATTTTTATAATCTGATATGAATAAATTTACTAATATTTATTTTTAAAAATAAATTTTTTAAATTTGAGATGCTTTTTATCAGAAATTTTACGTAAATATAGTATTCATTTATTATAAGTCACGATTATACTGTCACTATTTATTAAATGTCCAATTTTTGCAATCAATGCAAATGGACGTGCGAAAAATATCGTACTTTTATCGAAAGGATTAGCAGTAAAAATCCATGAAAAAGCCATTAAATAAATAAAATTGTTTCCCAGATAGAAAGTCATAATAACATCCTAAAATGTCATCACCGCTTCATTTATGACCTATAAAACTTATAAGCGACAAATAAGGTCATGATGACGTTCTTATAATATTATTATAACTTTTGTCTTGGTTAAGTCTGTATCCAATCGTACCCTGAGTTAGGATATGTCTTCCCCCTTACATAATTATGGAAATTAATTAATCTAATATTTAGCTCGGAAGAGAGCAGATCTACCTGACGATTGACTGCAATCGAAATGGACCGCTAACGGCTCGAAAGAGTTTAAGGTTGGATCGAAATCTAACCGACGAAAGGAAAGGGTGGATAGGGCACCGGCGCCGGATAATAACCGGGGTATGCTGGTATCGTTGGCTGCACCGGTACCGTGTTGGTGATATAGGTAGTGAGTTCAGTAGGCACGACCCTTGTGGAGAAGAGAGTGGTGTAGGCGGTTTTGGCGCCGAAGGTAAGTTTCAGCACTCGCGAATCAGATACGGTAGCGAGAGTCTGAGTGACTATGGGCGCACTCGTCACCGTGAATTGCGGTTGCTGTGGGAACAGCGGCAGCTGTGGTACCTGTTGTACCTGTGGTTGCAGTACTGGATTTAGGGTAGATGTGCCATACTCGTAGGACGTTCTGAAGCAAAAAATATATTATATAAAAAATATATTATATAAAAAATATATTAGATAAAATATCTGCAACGAAAATATATTAAGATAAAAAATATGACAAATATTTTACATTATGTATTTTATATATTGTTACATATAATAATAATATGGCTTAATAAATTTAATAAACGCAATAAAGACAAAAGGTCTACAAGCCATAAGTCAATCGTTATAATTTAAAAGTGGAAAATAAAAAATTATATCATTACGTTAATATTATAAACTTTAATAGAACAGCAAACGTTTCGATCGCGATCCGAACATTAATGTTTAGTCAACAAAATTTAGTCAGTATGAAAAAACGAATATGATGAAAAATTACATGAAGGATCGAGTAGAATAAAGAAAAATTATATATAAATTAAAAAAATACTTCGCTCTTTCTAATTGTTTGAAACGCTGGACATAGTTGATGCATGATTATTAAGCTGGTATCAGTATTTGTGTTTTGCCGGCAGTTGAAATGTTCGAAAAGATTATCCATGCATGTTTTCTTAAGTTGTTATCGAATTCTCAGTTAGAGATAATGAAATTGGAGACAATGCGACGAGAGCGAAAAACCGATATTACTTCTTGTCAGTGTTTCGTCATAACACTGTCATAACATTTTGTTATAATACTGACAAGAATATTGGTTTTTCGCTCTCGTCGCAAGACACAAATACTGATATCAGCTTAATAATTACGCGTCAACTATGTCCATAGCGTTTCAAACGATTAGAAAGAGCGAAGTATTTTTATAATTTATATATAATTTTTTTTCACATTCTATTCGATCCTTCATGTAATTTTTCATCATATTCGTTTTATCATACTGACTAAATTTTGTAAACATTGATAATGATCCTATCGCGATCGAAATGTTTGTTGTTCTATTAAAATTTATAATATTAACGTAATGATATAATTGTTTATTTTCCACTTTTAAATTATAACGATTGATATTTGGCTCGTAGCCCTTTTTCTTTATTGCTTTTGGCTCGTAGCCCTTTTTCTTTCTTGCGTTTTTTATTATTATGTATATTATTATAAAATATTTTTATCGTAATTTATTATTATATTTAATAATATATGAAAATACATAAAAAATGCGTAAAATACAGGGTGTCCGGAAAATCGATGTCAATACTTCGGAAAGTTATTCGGGACTCAAAAAGCAGGAAGAAAAGCTATATAAACATAGATCCGGAAATAAGTCGTTTCCGAGTTATAATTACTTTTATATTAAAAAAAAATTGTTTTTTCCCTTCTTTTTGGATTCCGAATCACTTTCCGAAGTTTGACCTCGATTTTCCGGACATCCTGTATAACGTGAAGTATAGAAAAATATGAAATTCTTGCAATAGATAAACGCATATAATTTACTAAATATTTTAAATATTATTATTTAATTTATGAATATAACGTTCAATTTTACATACATATATCAATTATGTGAAAAAAGAAAATTTGCTTGTTAAAAGTATTTGGAGTTAGAGATACTGACTTTGGTACGGTGCCAACTGGCCTGGTCAGTGTTGAGTAGATAGTATTCCCCGAATTCACCACTGGAATCACGTGCGATTCATACAGCGTCTCCAAGGTGACTACTGGTTTGGATGTAGTGATGACCTGGGGTTGCGGTTGACCAAAATATTTCAGCAGTGCCAATTGTTGTGCCTGCTCTGGGGTCAGCTGAGGCTCTGCATTGCTGCTGGTTGTGGCATCGCTCTTGACCTTGGACGGCGATGCCGACTTAAAAATGTTCAGGTCAGCATCAGGATCGTTGTTGGGCACTACCACTCTCTTTGGAACATCCTCGTCATCGCGATCATCATCACTAAAGTCGAGCTCAAGATGCAGTTCGCTGCCAGCTTCGTCGAGCTTCGAGTTGAACTCGTTCAATGTTTTACTCGGAATAAACTGATAGATCTCCATCGGCGGCAGCGTCTTTGTCGCCGTCACCACTCGGGCGATGTTATACGTTTGCACTAAGGTCAACCGAGTGGTGCTGTTGCCGGCGTAGATCACTGGTAACATATGCGTCTTCAGCAACGTTTGAGTCGTTGAGAACGTCTCTGTCAGTGTTTCTAATGGCGGTGTCGCTTGGGCGGCATCTAGGGAGATCGCTGGTAGCGTTGCGACAGACGAGTCAAGTGGCAAGGTCGACTCGTAGGCAGCCCCAGTATTCGCTAGTATGTTCTCCGTGAGCGGTTCGGTAGGTGAAATGGAGCTGCTCGGTTCGGCCGTCGCGAATGTTTTCTTGATGGTGGAGGTCACCGTGATGTAGCGAGTGTTTCGGAGTGTTCCTACCTGAAGAAAGAACATTTTTAGTTATCAGATTTATATTTTCATATTTAGATTTAAATTCTATAATTTAGTGATTATATATTATGACATCATAGCGGATGAAAGAATTAGTATTAAGTAACAAACGCGATACACCTAAAGCCAATAATTTGAATTAATTTTATTATTCGATTCTTGGGTATATTCAAAGTACTATTTCACTCACTTCAATTGGCAGATAAATAAATAAATATTAAAATAAAATAAAAAATTTACCTGAAAAGAGTAAGGCGATTTGATAGTGGCAATCTCGAAGTATACATTGTCGAGATCCGCCGCAGTGGAGATTTCCACGTTGAGCGTTTCTACTGGTAGAATTTGTTCTCCAGGATGCTGCTGATCCTGTTGCATGCTAACACTAGTCACATCTTCGCTTTCACTGGGATCTAACTCGTCCTCCGTCAAGGATAGTTCTTTCCTCTGGGCAACATTGGCGCCGCTGGATGAGATCGGAGCAACATTGATCATCGTCGCCGTCGTTGCTGACGTCTTGCCTTGCTCGTCAAAGACTGCCCCGGGAACCAATTCTGTTGTACTCGACTCGGTTATCGACGTTCGCAAATCTTCTTCATCCACCTGTTTACGAATCATGATTCTCGGTTTCGGCGTGGTCTTGTACGACCAGCGACCTTGCGTTCTCGGTAGCTTCACCTTGGGCAGAAGACTGACCGTCGTTGACGGCTGCTGATCGCTGTTCTTCGACTTCGTCACCTGTTTCGAGGGTGAGTTAGGGGATTGACTGTTCGGCCGGAAACCGCTGCGACGGCGAGTGATGGGCGTTTCAGTAGTGGTAGTTGCGGGACGATTTCTGAGAAGAGAGAGATAATTATAAAAGAGAATAGCTTCACGTCAAATTATTGTATTATGTTTTCTAATTTATAAGAAAAGGACAGCATGATAAAATTAATGATTGATAAAACAGAAAGAAAGCAGATGAATCATTTATCAATTTGCTTTTCGAATCGTGCTATTCCGTTAACACTTACTTGTAATTTGGTCGAGTCGTGTTGGAGCGATTCTTTCCGATCCTCGTTTGCTGTGGTTCGCTGTTATCGTATTCATCGACAATCTTATTTCGGAATTTGGGCCTGGATAAATTATTGGGAGTCGAAGGCTTTCGCGTCGATCGTACTGGAGTGTCTAATGGAATAAAAATTAATCAATCTATTTCTCAATGATTATTAAAAAAATTTTATGCCTGTTAGAGAATGAGAAAATTAATATAGAGAAGAGTTTTAGTTTTATATTGATTTCTATT